ACTCAGAAATGCTAGATATTCAAAATCTACAGCCAGCTTCTGCAGCCTGAAAATCTTTCTCTGAAGTGATTGTAAAGTCAGGGCTGAAGGGGACCCATGATAGCTTGGTCAAGAATGACACTTTTATTTGGACAGTGATGTCTGGTTTGAACTGATCAAAATTGGACACTCCAGAGTCTGTGGTATAACCACAGCTGGTCAGTGGAGAACTCAAGGCAGCAAAGAATGCAGAGTTCCACATTCCTCTACTCTCAGGATCCAAATTTGTGCATTGCCAAGGATCAGGAACTCTTAGGATGCCATCTCCTGTCATCAAGCAACATGTCGAACTTATCAGAGTTTTCTGATATTATATGTTCAAGAAAAACATCTAAGAGGGAAGCTGGCTCAATAATTATCTTACCTTTTCTTAAGGTGTACAGCAAGAAATTATCCAGTCTTTATTTTTTGTTATCTGTAAACTAAATTAATCTCTAATTCTAAAATAAATTCCATTTCCCCCCTTATTTTCTAAAAAACAACACTAATGAGACAAATTTTACTTTCTTTGGAAAGCAAAAAGTTTCTTTGGAAATTTTTTCTTATCTGACCATATAGTGATAGGAAGAAAGGAGGAAATTCTTCACATCATGAGTTGTGCAGTGATCTGTCTGTCAAAGTTCCTTGGGAACCCTTTAAAGCTAGTGGCAATTGTGCCTCCCTCCACTCAGGAATCACTAAAGCAGATTTACAAAAAGCAGACACATCAGAGCACATTTTTTCCTATGCCTACTATTTGCTTGTGCAAAGGTGATTTTATGTGCTGAATTTGGCCCTACTTGTGCAACAAGTGCTTCCACACATTGTGATATTTCTGCTTCATGGATCTTAGTCTGTTACCCAGCATTTCAACAATGCCATTGTTTTTCTAGTTGCCATTATTCAGCCTGGTAAGGGGCAAACTCTAGAGCTCTGGAATTGAATTAATTTCTTTGGATCCTGAGGTTGAGTGCTGTGTTGCCCTTGATAGGAGCTGGTTAAATATAAATGGAAATGTAAGCAATGTGTGGAATGTTTTATAGCACCTGAGCCCTTCTCTGTTTCCCTGAATAATGGGGAAACCTGAAGTTTTTACCTTTTATATGGGGACCTGAATTTGGGGATCTCCTGTAACCAATAAGTTTGAAATCTCTAACTGGCTGAGTTGCTCTCTATTTTTTCTCCTCATTCCTGTTCAGCTCTTTTACTAGAATATTTATGTGAAGAATATTGGAGTATTTATGTAGTTTTTTACCTGACTATCCAGGCTCAATCTCTTGTGTGGAGGGGATCAGCCCACTCTCCTCAGACCTAATCCCAGATAAATATCCATTACAAGGATACACTTATTTCCTGCAATGCTAATATACATTGGAAGGAACTAGAACTGGTTTTGGTTGAGGCATAAAATACAATTTGAAATGCCAAGATTTTTGGTTATTTTTAAAATGACTTGTGAATAACTCAGTGATTGGAACTACAGAAATAGCTGGAATCAAGACAAATAGGTGTTAATAAAGTGTTCCTTTAAAATGGGTCTTATTTTCACAGTACAATGGAATGACAGAATAAACTTAGACTGATTTAAGTAACAATCTTAAGGGGAGGTTGTTTTGTTTTGTTTTGATTTGATTTTTCACGCAAGGAAGGGTTTGAAATGATTTCTTAGGAAAAATTTCAGCTCGCATGGAAATGTTTTGTTAAGCTTGAATTTTTTTCCTAATCATCGAAAGCTGTGTCAGAATTTTGTAAGAAAATTTCCGGGTATGAATGTTTTTAAAGTAGCTTTTGTAATACTGACTGGTCACAGTTCCTTTAAAAGTGGGCAGAGTCCATGGAGCTATTCCTGTTACCAAAATAGTTGGCATTCAACCACCCAGCCTGTATAATTTGATAGAATTAGTGACTGTATGTCAAAATCTTGGGGAGCTTTGTTCAAAATAGGCATATTATAGCTAATTAAAATTTTCCTTTCCACCTCTTAGTTTCACAGATTCAGCATCAAAATATATTTGGAAATCATTAACTTCAGTTTGCCCTTTAACTTGCTTTCTTTTGTCTTGAAAGCTCATTCCTTTTACTAAAGCATCTGAATGCCTAGGAGGACAACTGTGACCTTTAAAATGAAGAAAGAAAGATTACTGCACTTAGCTTGTTGTGAATTTATTTTGTTGGTTTTTCTTTTTTTTTAAGGCCATTCAGAACATCAGTGTAGGTGGGATTTTTTTTTCAAACTAAATGTGCACTTAAAACACTTCAGATAATACTGAAATGTACTTAAAGGAAAATTACCTTCTCTACTGTGTCCCTAGGATTTAGATTCTTCCCTTGGAACAAATTACATTGTTAGCTTCTCTGAAAACTTGTTTTCCATTTTTAAACATATTTTTCTTTTAGATAACTCATCAAAGGTAGACATTTTAGCAATGTCTTTTCCTTTTGGTTTGTTTGTGATTTGTTTTTTCTTTCCTTACACACACTTACTTCATGCGGTCTTCCAACCCACATTTTGTTTGTCTTTGGCACTGAGAGACTCTTACATAATTTCTCAAAAATACAACAGTGTTCAGCTGTAGTAGTCCAAAAGGCTACAGCCTGCATTTTTGCGGAGGTTTGGGATGATCACAGTAGAATGGTGTATTGTTTCTGATGGGGCCTGTTTTCAGAGGTTTCTTGAATGCCTGTTTCTCTGCCCTTGGCCTCTTCTCAAGCTTCTAATAAACAGGGCTCAACAAGGGAGTGGGTGATACAACTTTAAATTGTGCCACTTCTCAAACACAGCACTTCAGTTTCTTTGAGGAGATGAGCTTAAGGAAAAGAACGCTCTGTGCGTACCACAGCTGCCATCCTTTGTTAGTTGCTGTTTACATGGTCTGTAATTGGTATTGTATATTTTTATGTAATAAGTTAGCATTAACCTAAAATAAGCTCAGTACAGTTAATTCCACAAGCATTCACACCAGAGTAAATGAGAAATGGTTCCCTATAGGTCAGTGCATCCACTGCACTCTTTGTAAGGGGAGAACCCAGCCCACTAGAACAAGATGCAAACGTATTTTAGAGCACTGGTTTAGAACTAATGGATATTCAGCCTCACAGCTGGCTTTTAGGTAAAGTCCATGAAAGATTCAGCTCCTGAATAGTTAAATTCTACTGTTTGGAGTAGGTGTCAGCTCTCTCTGGCTGCAAATAGCTATGAGACAGGCCACTGAATATGCACAGCTGGAATATGATTTTGAGTTTTGAAGCGTAACTCTCTGTTTGTGACTTGTCTTTGTACTCTGCCAGTCTCTTTTGGGTATACATGTTAAGTTGTATGTTTGCTTACATGTTTAGATACAAGGCTATAGGTGTAGATACATATCTTTGATTTTCCCTAGCAGTAGGAGCTCACTTTTCCTGTTGGCTTAGAGCTATGCTGTACACTGCTGTGGCTGGCAGTGTGAAAACATTGAAGTCAGATGAAGTTTGTAACAGGTGTGTCTGTGGTTGTATTGGTACCAGCAATTTGCTTGCTGAGCAGGGATGGAGTGGGCCTGCAGTCGTGTGTTATCCTGTCTGGATCAAGTCCATCTCCTGCCTCATTTCCTCTGACAGGGGCCTGGGCTACAGGCACAAGGAGAACAGTCAGGGTGTGAGTTATGGTAATATCTAGGAAGAAAAAAGCCACCTGCACACCCACCTGAATCTCCCTAAAGCAGAAAACATCCCCAGAGAGACCAGAGGAAGCACACCTTGCGTAGTCCCCACTGAACACCTTTGCTTCTGTGCCATTGCATGGTCTTACTGCTGCATTTAGATTGTTGTCCCCTCTCCACCTAATTCTAGAGTGGGACTCTAGAGAGAGGATGCACAACCTTCCCTTCATCACCTGCCACTCCTGCATGTGATCCTCCACTGATTACACTCCAGGCAGATTCAGAGCCTGCCTTTTAAAATGTGGCCATAACAATTGTAGCAGGTGTTGACTAACAGACTGTTAGTCCAAGCCCTGATGCACAGAATCTACTCTGAAATGGCATTTGCTTCCCTTCCCTGCTGCACACGTAGTAATGCTTTAACAAGTAATAGATTACAAATGAAGTTTCTGCTGTCTCCCCTGGGAGTCAACTAGGCAAACAATGATTAGGAAATCTTAGCTGATAATTGTTTAAATGTTTTGTTTCTTAATTTCATCTTTTTCCTTGGGCAATTTTGTATTAACCTAAATAGTTCCTTTCATTCCTCAGTGCTTGTGTTTCCCAAGTTCTTGTAAACCACTACCAAGTCTTCCTTTCCCACAGGCATTGCTTATCCTAACTGTTGACTGAAAATCAATCCCCCCATCTAATGACTCTGTCACTGTTCTTTGAACTCTTTCCATTTTACATTATCCATCTGGCAGCAAAACATCCAAAACTGCACGCAGGCTGCAGATGTGGTGGTTCCGTAGCTGCTGAGGCAGGGATCTGTTACAAACCATTGCAGGTCAGGATCGGGCTGTTTCTGGGATCAGTACTCAGAAAGCAGAGTCATTTTTCTCTAGTTTCTCTGCCCAGGACGCCTGAGGGTAATGACAGCCTTGTAACACAAACCTATGGAAGTTGTGGTTTTTCTTAACCCTGTACCCCTAATTTTTGTTTTGTTTTTATACACCTATAAACACGTTTCAAGCTCTTGTTCTCCTCAGAAATATAAAGCTTCCCAAACCTGGGATCCAACTGCTCTCCCCAGTCTGCTGTCAACAAGTAAAAGCCAGCAGGCTCCTAGGTCAGGCCAGCTGGGATATGTGACAAGGGATCCCCTGCTCTGGTTCTCTGCTCTGTCCTGGATTCTGCTGGAGTCAAAATTGAATTGTGATGTGTGACTATCATAATATCTTCAGCTAAAAGAAGAAGATATGACTGCACACATGGAAATTGAATTTCAGTAAAAGTATTTTAGTTTTCATTTGTGATATCACAAGTTCACAAAGTGTTTTTTCCTTCTTTTTAATTTAACAGGTTATCACTGCTAGCTTATCACCGTTCTTCTTTGTCATGACTGCCAATGTACTAACAATTTCTTGGTAAGTGCCTACATGAGCTTTTTGTTTAGCAGTAAAGATGAATTTTCACACAGTGCTTCATGTGGAAATATTTTTAAATGTCAAGTTCTATTGCTGTCAGTATTATTTTGCATGTAAGGAGAACCAGGTGTGCAATGATGGATGCAGTACAGTAACAGAAAAGTGTTGCTTCTGCCTCTGTGGGAGAACGTGGACATTTTAGACATTAAGCCTAACCATAATTCACTCAGCACATTTTACTATGAGGCAAATGGACCCTACAGGCAAATAAATGACCCATTCAAAGTCATGCTGCAATTTAGTTCTGGAACTGGAAGTAAAACACAGGAGTCAAGGTTTGCTGACAGTATCTTTTTAACCAAGAGGATGCATTCAAGTTTCCCTAACACACTGTGCACTGTGAATACATAAAATTAAACTGAAGAAAAATAATGATAATAAACTTTTTCCAGAGCTGTATCTGGATTTTGTAATGTGTGGCCACACAGTACAAATTACCTAACCTGAATTTTTTAGGTAGTAATATAAAGGCTTGGGTTACAAACTCCTTTAGTCAAAGGCAGTGTTTTTGATCTGTGTTTTGTAGCACACAATGAAAGGGAATCACAGAGCAGGGCTAATGTTCCTAAATGCTTCTGCCATGCAAATAACTTCTCAATATGGGGTTAGGCATGTGTCTCTGAGGACAGATTTGTTAATAGAAATAAAAATCCACTTACTTTTGAAAAGCTTTAAGCTTCTTTCTTTCTACTTGATTCATGATTCATTCAGTTTGATTGCCATCCTAAAGATTCAGCTCTGCACTGAATGGAATTTGCATATCCTTTCTTCAGGTGTGATAAGAGACTTATAGAAAGGAGAATCTCCAGGTCAGACAGGCCCCATTTACTTATGTGTTAATATGGATTCCTATCTGTATTTTAGGCACATGTAGTCTCAAATGCTAAAGTAAGTTGTGCATTTTTTTTAGCTCTAGGAAATACATGCTGCTTGTGCATGTCAGAGACTTAACCAATGTCAAAGCACCTACAAAACACTCCTAGTCTAGGCCATTAACTTGCTGCTCTTCACCATGTTTTGCATGTGTTTGTACAGGTCTGTCACGTGTGTGCTAGAGGCAGGCTTTGATTACATATCTGTATTCACTGACATGTGCACTAAAAATGAATGTGTACCTTTATTAATGTGTATCTTTGTTAATGTGAGCACATGGACCCATAGAGTTGCACACATGTCACCTGCCCTATATGGACTGAAACTTCCATAAATGATGAACACATCTGTATGCTTAAAAGAAAATTTGCTTTAGCCCTTGGGCTACTGTTACATTTTGATTGTCATAATTAAAAAAAATAAAACAATTTCTTTTATTTATTTATTTTTAAAATTTTATTATTCTGTTAGTGCTTGTGCATTGGCAGTGCCTTGACTTAGCAGCAAAGCTCTGGAAATAGTTTGTTGGATGATAGCAGCTGCAAAGTACTCATGAGAACATTAATCACTGAGGATTTTAGTGCTGCTCCAGTGTGGTCATGGACAATATCATATGTTAATTTTTGAACTATGGGCAAGTGCAGTTAGCTGCCACCCCACTATAAACAGAAGCTAAAGAGTTTGCCACATGGGAAATGAAGGTAAAATCAAGGGCTGGCATTTAGCTATGGTTTTTGCTCTGCTTCATCTTGAAGATAATAACAATGGTTTCCATTTGCCTAGTAATTTGGACTGCAGGGGCATGTGGATCCCAAGATTTCAAATCCTTCACAAAGGCATTCTTCTTCTCTGATGTAAGACATATGATGTTAAAGAACAACTCTGGCACAGGCATCTTTTTACAGAACAAGGCTGGGCAGTTTATTGTCTTTTGTATATAATTGCCAGTCTCATTTTTGAAATGGTATGCCAGAAACAGATTTATTTTTTAATCTCTGTTAAAAATTTAGAACACAACACAACTATAGAAACAGGAAAAGAATTTCTAAGGTCTTCTATGTGTAGTGTTTTGGATTTTTTTTTCCTTTAGGATAAAGGGTATATTATCCAACCATGGATTCCAAAGGAGTTAATGCATAGGGTGCATTTGTACTGGAGCTGAAATAAGACATGGGAGTTAACCCTCTCCAGAAAAAAAGCACTCAGAAGTTGTTACCAACTGCAGGTGGCCAGACTCAGTGGTTTAGACCCTTTTTGAAAAGCTTGCAGCCCTTGCAGCCTTTTGCTCCTTGTTGGTAATTCCACACCAAAGCTATTCTGTCTTCCCAGTGGACTGTCACAGACTGCCTGTAGCACCTACTTTCCAGGGCTGTTTACTGTGTAATTGTAGGATGTTATGCTGTGTTATACAATATTTTTTTCCTCTCGGGAACAAGGGCAATTATGTGGTTTTTAAAACAGCTCACCAAAGCTAAGATTTAAGTGAATATAATGCTATTAGACCAAAGAGCATTCAGCTTTACATGCTTGCTTTTTTTTTTTTTTCCAAGGGAAAAAAAAAGAGTACTCTTAGAAATGAACTTAACAGAAGTTTGTTTTGTTTATAAAGTTCAGTAAGGAGCTTTTCTGTTTCATAAGCTAATTAAGCCGTGGGGCTAAGATGAAAGGTCAGTACACTTAGCTTTGCACTGTTCTAAAAGGGGAGAAGAATCGGCATCTTACCATATTCCTGTCAGCTGTGAGAGATAACAGAGGAGACTTGGGGATTATTAACTATTGCATGCATTGAGTGGGTTGATAGCATATTTAAGTGAAGGTTTTTGTAAAACCATTCATCCTGACTTGGAGCCCTGCTCCTAGGCTGACTCTTGGGGAGCAGCCTTAGTGCCACGGCTGTGCTGTGAGCAGCACAGGAAAGAAGTGCTTGGGCACATGTGTCTTTTTGGCTGGGGCAGCTCCTTTCACCTCACCAAGAGAGGAAAACACAGGAATTTTTACTAGCCTGACTATGCCAATGGGGTCACCCAGCACAAAAAAGGTTTTGTCCTTGTCCACAAAACCTAAGCTTTACATCTCCTCCTGATGTTGTCAAGTGGCAAGTTTTCAGGACAGAACACAAACAGAAATTGCAAGAGGGAATCAATAGGCTAATAAGGTTCAAACTCTCTCACCTTCCTTTCCTATTCTTGCTAGTGTAGGGGTGTGCAGCTATTCTTGTAACTAGGGGCAACCTTCTTCATTTAGATTCCTGTCTGTGCATTTTTACTGAATATCACCAGCCCTAAAATATAAGAAAGGTAGTTTCTGATGAGATCATTTAAATGAGATATTTTGGGTTTCAACATTTTCTTAGCAAGATAAATGAAAAAATCACCTGGGTTACTGTTTCTAGGTTGGAAAGTGTTTAGATAAAACAATAGTTTTTTGTGTCAAGTAGAAGGACTTGCATGATGCTAAATTTGTGATATACTTTGTTTACAGCCTTGTGATCGGTGGAGTTGGAGAAGCGTTGCTTGTTTACACTGAAAGGACAGGCACATAAAGAGGAACCAGATCTCACCAGCTGGAACAAAGCTGACTTGCAGCCTAGAGACACTATCAAGAAAAAAAGTGGCAGCAGGAATGGAGAAGTGCAACCAAACATGAGGAAAGGGACCTATTGTTTTTTTTTTTTAATTAAAAAAAGAACCTATGCTATTAATAGTGCTAGTAAGGGAGCAGCATAGCTGGCAGAGATGGTAAGGAGCCTTTGCCTCAAAGCACAAGACCAACTATATCAGATTGATGTGGTAAAGAAAAAACTGCACTGTATCATGCTGATGGCTCTGTGTGAGCACCACTCAGTAGCAGCTTCTTGCACAGGGGCACAGGGAACTAAACTCAGGAAAAGCAGCATTCCCCACTGTATGCCCCGGGTGGTTTTTTTTTGTTTTTTTTTTTGAAGCAGACAGCAGGTCATACCAAACAACGTATAAATTCAGGATGTTTTTTTTTTTTTTTTGTTTGAAGCAGACAGCAGGTCAAGCCAAACAACGTATAAATTCAGGATCTGGAAGGATGGATTTTGCCTCCAACTGTTCTGTAAGCAGCAAGCTGCCACACACAGGTCTCTAGTCATGTTGTCTGAACTGGCACAGGGACTGAGGCCAAAGGGCTTGTGGAGATAATCCCCTTCTGGAACTGTGGCAGTTTGACAGCTTTTCAGAAAGGGAAAATCAGCAATAAATCTCAATATCTGTAGTGATTGCTCTTTGTAATTTTTTTCTCTCCCATTCACTGAGATTTCTCTTGAACTCTGCCAATTTTTGTCAGCTGGAGGGGGTGTAGGGACACGTACTGTTCCCAGCAGTGGTTTGTCTCTTAAATTATTGCAAGAGGAAACACAGAACATGAACCTTGAATGAATGTCATAAAGAGTGTAAGGAAATTAATCTCAAGAGTTCTTAAAGTAATTTCTCTTCTGGTTGCTTAATGGCTGTTAGAAGTTAGTCTTGATATATTAGAGCCTGCAGTCTATGTGAAAATAATATTAAATGATGAGTTTATATTGTGGGAAAGGTCTACATGGTAAAAGGAACTTGGTAACACATTTTCAGTGAGGAAAGGGACTTGTCTCACTCGATGTTAGATATGTAAAGTGTAGTCCCTTAATCCAAGTTGACCAAGTTTCCTTCACAGTCAATGCAAAGAGGGCTGCCCTCACAGAGATGATTTTTCTTGAATAGATTGCTGTGTTAGAAAGTGCATATATCTCTGTAGATAGAAACTGGGTAACCAGTCTAGACAAGACACATGGTTTCTACAAGGCTACAGTTACTTGAGGCTTCAGTCTAACAAATTCCACCAGATGGGCTTGAAAATATGGCTACATTTTAATTTCAAATAAAACACCATAGGTTAACAAAGAAGATAAATTTTACAAGTGTTTGCAGTCAGTTTCTATGACTGTAGAAATTTAGATAGAGATTAGTTGGTTTTCAGAAAAAAAAAATTGCTGCAAAAGAAGCTTATAAGAGAAGTATTTTGGTCAATATTATTCCTAAGCTTATCTCAGTCTATCACAAAAAGGTCTCTTCATATGGGCATGTTGTCTGTGTATGTTGGGTCCCACTCTGGCTTGAGTTTGGCATGAGCCATTTTTTTGCCAGGTGGTAAAACTCAGGTTCGGGAAGAAACGGGGAAGAGAGACACAAGCATGAAAAATAAATGCTTGAACTTGAGCACGAGTCCAGAAACCAGCATGAGCCACATGGGAAGTTGGGCCCATCCACCCAGTGAGCCATGACACAGCCAGCCATGGGTCCTCATGGCATTCCAGTCTGTAAATTCAGACGGTGCTGGGAGTGATGGCTGCAGCATTCTGGCTTTCCCCAGACAACTCTCTCTGCCAGGCAGTTGTGGCAATGCAGTAGGATCCTTGCTGTGCCACCTTTCTGCTGACTTTGAAGTGAATAGTGACCCTAGGAGACCTCATGGAAGACTCCGTGCGTGATTGCCGAGGTTTTGCAATCGTAGCTGGAACCCTTGCTGTGGGAAAAGCTCATCTTGTACCTCTCTTCTTGCATAACTTTTAAGGTTAGGCTGCAGTCTGATTTTTTTTTCTTCCTCTATCTTGTCTGTGCTGTTCATAGCAATGTGCAGAACACCCATTTGCTTTCTTGCTGGGGGTCTCAGTGGAAAGGCAGAGGCCAAACCAGCAGCCAGGGTTGCAATAGCACTTTGATCAGAGGACACCTTGGCATGGCTGCAGGAAGCTTGTTTGGCTGCAACAGGCATTTCTGTTGTGTGGGATCTGGGGGAATTCAGTGCCTGCAGATACTGCATTAGTATCCTCCTGCACAGTAAGGCAACTGCCTTTTTATTTAACTCACCCATGTTAAACAACACTGAACTGTTTACCTTCTGCTTGCATTTTTTTGTGCCTTAGTGCTTGCATTTCTGAGACTCTGCTTGAGGTAAGTAAAAAGGTTTAAACTGATTGCTACGTAAGCAAATCAAAGAACCACAGGTAGCAGTGGAACTGGGCTCCTCTGTCAAACACGGCTGGTTCAGTACCCTCTGAACCTTGCAGAGCAGCATGATGCTCATCAGTCTTGCTGAAAACTCAGATTAGGGTGGAAGTAGAGCTCAGTGGCCTTCAAAATCCATTTTGCATATTTGGAGTTGTCTTAAGGAGTTGAAGGCATGGCTTGGAGTCCTTCTTGCTCAGGCTGTGGCAGAGGGGGCAGCAGGGCCAGGTTCCAGTGTGGCATCTGCCTCTGGGAGAGTCCTGTGAGCCAAGGGCTGGTTCAGTGCTGCTCACAGTGAGTTGTCAAAGGGTCAGCCTGTGGTGGGGCAAGCAGTGGTGGGGAGAGAGCCCTTGGGGGACTTCTGGCTGCTGAAACAAATGGTGCCTTTCTCAACACGTGTGCTGGGCTGGGGATGCCAGCCAGGAGCTGGTGATCTGCAGCAGTTGCAAAGCCCTGAGATGGCATCTCAGCTGCCAGTGCAGAGCAGGTCATACAAACCTAAAGGTCAGCTCTGGGAGGGCACCAAGAAGACCCTGGCTCTCCACCACTGCCCTTGGGAAGGTGTGTGTTCCCAGCAGTGGCACCCAAGGGAGCAGAGACACAGAGCTGTTTGGGCTCCCTGGTCCTCACAGCCCTGGCTGAGCAGACGATGGCAGCAGAGGAGAAATGTGGGCAGGGCAGGTGCTACTGCTGCTTGCAGAGGTTGGGGACTGGAGGGGATGGGGTAGAGCACTCCTGGTGATTTCCTGAGAAAGCAGTGCCCTGGTCGTTCATTCAGCTCTGCCACAGGAGGGATGCTGCATAATAAAGAACGCACTTCAGGACAGTTAAAGTGATCTTCAAAGCAGAAGACCTCAGAAGTTCAAACTTAAAATGGCTCTTGCAAGACTTGTGAACAGTTATGTTAAGTAATTTGAAGCAGGAATATGCAAGGTTGGACTATTTATATCTAATTGACCTTTTTTGAGTCAGTCAAAAATACAAAGTGCCGAACACACATCTCTGAGGAAGGAGGAGCTCCTTTAGGTTGCAGAGAAGCAAAGAGAAGCAATGACACCAATTAATGCCTGAATGCAAAGCAGTGTGTCTGTAGCTCAGCTGAGCTCCACATTTATCAGTATCCAGCATTTAAGGAATTTACTGTTCTTGGGTTGTCAACATGTGTGACTAGAGAGAAAAAATGGGGTGTGCTGATCTTTCTAAAAGGCAGCAGGTGCTGGCAGCTGTCCCATCATGCCCTTTTCACATCTACTGGTTTTGATCAAATCACTGACAGAGATGATCCTGAATCAAGTCATACCTTTTTGATCCTACCTTGCTTACACCTATTTTCCAAGTGTCTTTCTTCTTTCCTTACAAAGTAATGGGGACAAGGCTTGTGTTACCCACTGCAGTGACATGACTCATGCATGTGGCTTCATCATGGAGAGCATCTGCTTAAAGCCAAGTGCCATCAAAAGAAGACTTGAAGAGTAAAACTGCTGGATATAGACTACGAGTGGATTACAAAAATGCAGGCCACAGGGATTCTGTTTTGAAACAATCTTCTGGATCTGGCAGCTGTAACATAGCTTCCAGCAGAAAATGTTATTAAATTAATTAAATGAACCTGATACTTAACACTGAAGTGAATCTTTTGTTGCTTATTGCTGTGTTGTATTGGCAGAGAATCTATGCCAGTCTTTCAATAGAAGCTGAAAATCTGCAGAGCAAGTGATCTTAGCAAAAAGCAATAGGGAAACCTTTAAAGTTATTTTTAAAGGAAGCTCTGGACCTGTTAAAATATTCAGTAGGGGATAGAATTGTGATTTACCATTACTCTTTGTAACACCTGTGTCTGAGTTGGTGGATGACTGTACATATATATATATGTTCCTCTCCCACCCTCAAATAAGAAGATCTAAAAAATTCAAGAAATGTGATGTCAACATAGCACATGCTTTAAGAAGGATGCTTTATTAAGTATTGTAGAAAAGTTAGTTGCTGGGAGCTGTGCTGAGAGCTGAGGAAAGGTTTCCTGCAGCTCCTGTAAGCTGAAGGAGATGGTGGGTTGAAGAAAACTCCATGGCAAATTTGCCTTGCCCAGAGCTGAATGAACAGCTTTCAAACAGATCATCTGCTACTGTGAACCTGGCAACAGGCTCAGTGTGGAACTTTAATCCTGTTCCAGGGGATAGACACAGGGACAGGTTCATTTGGGTTGAAAAGAAGGCGTGGGTGAGGGGAAGGCGATTGGGCGCAGGACTAAAAAAATTGAGGCTGGCATACTTTCGTACAAGGAGATAAAATAGGATGGGATTTGCTTCAGAAAATGTGTTTCTTATTCGTAGGTTTGGAGGGGTGGGGGCTGGGGCTTTTCTTTGTGGCCTTGTTGTTTTTCTTTTTTTAAATTAGAGTGTATTACAAATACATGTGTGTTTAGTCCCAAAAAGGAATTAGAGGAGCCTATGAAGGTTGTGTAACTATTTCCATATTATTTGCCTGGTTTGGGAAGCTTAACCCTTTTATTAACTAAAGTGTCCTTGTGTAAGCCTTGATTTCATCTGGAAAAAGGACTGGTTTTTGTAATAATGCTGGTAAAAAAACTGCTCTCTCTTCTTGATCACCAAGATGGGGAAGTCTTCAGTATCTGTGGTGGGAAGGAGTCACACTACTCTTCTACCTTTTAATAATTGCCTTGGCTTCCACAGTAGGTGGGAGTAGCCAGCCAGCATGTTCACTTCTTGATTTGATGGTATACAAAAGCCCTTTGAAAGCCACACCGGGAGCATGATCAGCAAATTTTGTCTTTTGTTCTGTTATTAAGATTTGAAAATATATAGCCCAGGACTTGTTCAGCTGTGAGCTTGCTGCCCATATAGAGAAGGCTGTATAAAGAAGAATATTGTGACATGGGTGTGTCTCTCTGTGTCCCTTCCAGGCAATGGGTAAAATCCCATAACTGCACTCACAGATGTGGCTGTGGGAGA